GCGCGTGGCCCCGGGCGCATGCCGTGGGCTCCGTTGGCTGAGGGTGGCTTTGGTTTCCGTAACCACCATGCTACCCTCGAGGCACCTCTGTGTCTTTTAGGGGACACGTTGCCCCTTCTTGCCCCCGGACTCTAGGGCAGAGGGTGCCCCTTGTCGCTGGGTCTGGGGTGCACGCTCCCCACGGCGCTCCCGACATCCCTGCTAGAACCGGCAGCTCGGAGAGGGAAGGCCTGGCGGGTCCGTTTCCCCCACTCGAGGGAAGAGCCACATGGGCTCCCTCTGTTTGCTCAGGCAGGCGCTGGGAGCCGGAGTTAACCCGGGAGCTCTGCACCGCGCTTCTGCCTGAGCCTGGGTAAACGGTGGCTGTTTGCCCTCGCGCTAGCCCTGCGGCACAGGGATGAAAGGGGATTCATTCCTCTCCGGCATTGCTGACTTTGGAGGGCATCCAAGCGCACTCGGCTTGGGGCCCCGGGATGCTGACGGAGGCGCTGCGTGAAGAGAGACGGAGGCGTTGATGTGTCTGGGATTGCGTGCCCACCCCCAGCCGTGCGGGCAGGCGGGACTGATGGGGCTTCCTGCTGCCGTAAAGCTGCCTGGCGATTTCCAGAGCACAGGACAGACCCCCATAGCTCTAGAGGGTTGGGATCAGCATCGGGCTCTGCCACACTTTGCACAAGTGCACCTTGCCCCCATTTTACAGGCAGCAAAACCAAGACACGGGAAACGGACACCAGGGTGCACGTAGAGCCCAGGTCCTGAGTTCCAGCCTGCGCTGCAGCTGTGCCAATGCTCCTGCTGGCACCAACCCCGCAGGGTCCTGGCTGGAGGGTCTTGCCCCTGCGCTCAGGCTCAGCCCCACGCTGCACTGGGGCAGGAAGGGATTTGCCCCCTGCTCAGGCTGGTCGCACTGGGGGGGTTTTGCCTTCTTCTGCAGCGGGGGCATGGCCTTGGCCTTGGCCTGGGCTCTCAATCCACGACCCCCCTGGCAGCAGCAGGATGTTGGTGGCTGCAGCCCCCCTGCATCCCAGGGGCAGGGGCAATGCCTGGGGATGTGTCAGGGTGACTGTCATGTGGCCCCAAGGTCGCACACCGGGTTTGTCTAGGCTGTTTTGGACGGGGCTGATCCTGCCTCAGGACTGGATGTTACCCCTCAGCTCCCTGCCAGCCCTGCAGCTCCAGGACTTTGGTTAGGCCTTGCCAGGCAGGAAGAGATGGACTGAGCGCAGGTCAGCCCTGCAGAAATGGTGTCCCCCTTTAGCAGCTGCCCCGTGCTGCTATGAGGGATGGGCCATGGGGCAGCTCGGCCCGTGTCTCTTCGGAGACAGGCAGCAGCTTCCATCCAACGGGGCAGAGATGAGAAGCCGGTGTCCCCGCTGGGCTGGACGAGATGCGTTCAGCCATGGGGCCCCCATGGCCATAGAAAGCTGGAGGACCAGCAGCACTGTTACCTTCACGGGATCCGCTCTGGGCTTAGCTCGGCACAGATCCGCTGGTTGCGCACAGGCGTTGGCCAGCACCTTCTGCCCCGGAGCCCTGTGTCCAGCCGGGCGCCTCTCAGAGAAGGATCCAGCAAAGAGCAGCGTCTCTGGAGCCTGCTGCAGTGGGGGCCTGGGTTACAGCAGGACCCCCTCCACGCACCCTTGGGACCCAGCAATGCCTGCTGCCTTGCATCTAGTCATCCACAAATGTGGGCCGTCGCACAGCACCTTACCCTCTGCTTTGGGAGCTGCCCGGGGCCTTCAGCCCTCCGTGGACCCCAGCTTTGTGCTTGCTGGCCTCTCTCAAAGTCCCCAGAGCCAGAGGACGCGCAAGCTCCTCATCTCTGCAGCCGTCGGGTTTTGCAGTATCTCTTGCACAGACTGGCAGAAGAGCTGTTTTCCGGAGCGCCGCTGTCCATGGGCGAGCCAAGCAGCATCTCCCCAGCGGTGCTTTTGGGGCCTTGGCGTTGTTTTCCAAAGGAGGAGGACAAAAAGAGTCCCTAGATCACTGCCTCTGATGGAGCAGGCTGGCCTCTTCCCCACTGCTGCACGGATGACACGGCGCAGCAAATTGATCGCTGTACAAAGCCTCAGTGGGAGCTCGGAGCCTTCCCCTCGTCTCTTTATTATCATCCTGGCCCAGCTTGAGCTGGCGCACGGCTCTCGGCAAAGAGCAGCTATTAAGCAGGCCCGAAAGGGGAAGCTGGAGATGTCAGGAGCTTTTATTCGGAATCAAATGCCGCAGCCGCAGGGCGGCGGGGACCTGGGGGAAGCCCAGGAGGGGATGGAGGGGACGTGCCTCCGAGCCCAGCCCAGCCCAGGCCGGGGCTGCCTCTCGCTTGCTTCCTGAATTGAGGGGTGGGGGTAAGAGCACAGGTGATGGTGCCCGGAGCCGGGTCACAGCCTAGACAAGAGCCCACAGAGGACCACCGCCCTCCCGGGCTGCCTGCCCTGCTCCGGAGGAGCGCATGCATCCGGTTCACGCATTTAAAGCATCAGGCAAGGGGGTGCTGGGCTCTGAGCGTCACGGGACCATCACGGAGCAGATGAATGGGGGAGCACGCTACCCCCACAGGCCGCGTGGCATGGTGGATTTGACGCCAGGCAGGAAAGGTGGTGGCAGGGCACCCGGGCGGGGGGACGGGGAGCTTTCCCTGCCTCACCCATGTCCCCGTACTTAGTCACGCTCCCAGCACCAACCAGCAGTGCCATGCAGGGGCCTCCCCAGTTTGCCCTGGAGTTGTCTGGCCCAGCCCCCTGCCCACATGCAGGATGCTGCAGCTTTGCCCGGTGCCCCTCCAGCCTCTTGGAAACCTCCCACGGCTCGGGCTCTCCACCTCCCCGCTGGGTGCCCAGGTGAGAGGCAGGGTGCCAGGGGCCCTGGCTTCTCAACCTTGTTTGGCTTCCATGCCTCAGTTTCCCCATCAGTTTGGAAGAGCCTGGCTTCCTCTGGCTGAGCCCAGTGCATCCTTGGGGTTTAAGGCCCTTCCGCTGCTCCCATCCGATGGCGGTCCTCGACCTGTTGTGTAATTAATAACTCTCTGCTGCGAGCCATTAAGGAGCAGTTGGGGGCCCTTACTTTCCTCCCCCGGCGGCTGCAATGAGCAGCTCTGCGAGCTGCAGGAGCCCTGCCCGGCGCTGTCAGGGCCCAGCACTTTCGCGCTCTGCGCCAGCAACACCTGGCAAACAGCTGTGGCATTTGCAACAGGGAAAAGGACACGGCTGTCAAGGGAAGGCGCCGCTCTCGCCTTCGGGAATGGCGCTGCCCTTTCCCCGCCGCTGCCGGCACGGAGCCCTTTCCTCCCCAGGCCTCACCGGCGTCCCGCTTCCCGCCTGACCTGAGGCTGGAAACCGGCAGCCTTGAGCGATCGGAGAACTTTGCTGTTGTCCTCTGTGATCCCTGCTGCTGGTGGCGGGGGGGTTTGCTGGCCGCAGTGGGAGCCAGGCTGCCGCGGGGCATGTAGCATCCCCGTCGCAAGCAGCTTGGCAGCTCCCGGTGCAGTTCGGGGTCTTGTTCTTTTAGCTGCATCCTGCCCTGGGGTTCTCTCTCCCCGCGGCGCCGGGAGCCTTCCAGTTGCTAGTCCTCAGCGCTGGGACGGCAGAGGACAGCACTGTTCAGCTCCCCCCAGACGCATCCTGGCCTGGCCTGGTCCAGACGCCGCACCCCAGCCCTGTGCACAGAGACGAGACCCGATGCCCCAGGGCCCGCAAAAGCTTGCATTTGCACCCTGGAGCCTGCAATGGGGCTCAGGTCCCCGTGGTGCCAGGTGCTGGATGTGCAGCTTGCTCGGGGCTGGGACTGGTTGCGTTTCGGAGGTGCCCGTCCTGGGGGGCAGACATCTGTTGTAAGAATTGCCATGGCCTGGGTCAGGCCCAGGCCCGTCGTGCCATCTCCAGCGTCACACGGGCAGAGAGTGGAGCTGGATGGGAGATGACGGGGTCTGAGCAGGGTCTTCCCTGCTCCTCTCTCCCTTGCAGCCTTTAAGGTCCAGGCCGGTCTGATGCAGAGGCCGTGCCCCTCGCTCCCTGCTCCAGAGCTCCCCGTGCCCCTTTTCTCCAAGCCTGTGTCCAGTCCTGGGTGGATCTGGCCGAGCTCCCACTGCAGCTGGTGGCCACGAGCCCCCACTTTAATGCCACGTGGGGAGAAAAGAGCGGCCTGGTGTTCATGATCAACTGACACCTGCTTGGTCCATGCTGTGACCCCTTGTCCCTGTCTGGGGAGAGAGGAGCAATGATCGATCCCCAGGGACTTTCTCTTGGCCGTTTCATGTGCTGTGACCCCTTCTGCCCCATCCAGCGTCTCTTCTGCCCTGCCCCGGCCTGGCCTCGTGAGTCTCTCCAAGAGAAGCCCCTCCACAGCGCTCCTCATCCTCGCTGCCCGTCTCTGCGCCTGCTCCAGCTCTTCTCTCTCCTGCTGGAGGTGCAGGGACCAGCCCCGGGTGCAGCACTCATTGCCCTCCCTAGAAGCAGGCCGTTCCCCCAGCACGTCCGGCCAGCCGAGCCGTGGCCCACGCCGGTCGGGGCCGGCAGTGCCAGGGCTGCGAAGCATTTGCTCTCTCTCTCCGATGCGGCCCCAGGGGCCCAGTGCGAGGATGTGCCACGGTCATTCTTCTCCCTCCTGTTAATAAACGTTAATGGCTGTGGCTGCAGCGAGAGCGGAGAACGAGGCTTCCTGTCGGCTCCGTTGCGCTCGTTAATTCATTTTGCGCTGGGAAATGTCTCCCTTGTCCAGCATTGTCTCCGTCCCAGCCACTTTATCTTCAGTGTTTTTCTTTACCTGGAAGGAAGCTCGTTTCGCTAGCACCGCGCCGCCGGCCGCGTGCTTTGTGTGCTGGCCGTGGGGGTGCAGCACTGCTGGCGATTCAATCCCTGCTGCATGGGGGTGGGGGGAGCCCTGTCATTTGCCCGTGCTCTGGTCGGGGCTGGGGGGAGCTCATGGAGCTGACACGGGCAGTGTAGCTGGCATGGGGGCTTCCTGTCCCGCGGCTGACAGCATGTTTGTTCTCTCTTTCCTCCCCGCAGGGCTATTAAGAATGGCAAGGGACTGCACAGCAAGAAGGAGGTGCCCATTCACCGGGTGGCTGACATCTCTGGGGTAAGGAGCCGGTCGTGTCCAGCACTGTGCCCCGAGGGTTAAGGGGGGGCCTGGCCCGGTCCTCTTCTTGCCTGGTCCTCTTCACGGTATAACGAAGATGATGGTTTGGGTATAACGAGAGGCAGGGGACCCCCAGGGAGCAGCCTGGTGGCTGGCAGGTGTCTTGGGCAGAGAGCCAGCCTGGTGTAAGGCCAGCGCTGGCGTGCCCAGAGGCAGATGCAGCCTCTGGGGTCCCCAGGTCTTTCCCCACCGCCCTTCCTTGCAAAGGTGCAGGTGCCAGCTGGCTCTGAGCGTCCCTGGAGCACCCCCTCCTTTGCCAGGCTGAAGGGTGGAGGACTTGGCCCGGCCTGCTAACGACGTGCCAGTGCAGACAGCTCTCCGCTGCACACACGGCTTCCCCTCTGCCCTGCCCTGGTGCGCTGCAAGCATCTTGTCCCCATCGGCTGGCGAGCGGCAGAGGTTTGGGGCCTGGGGGCAGGGAAAGGCGATGCTTTCCGCGTTGCTTCTCTCTGTAGCCTGTGGAATTGCTCCGTGCGTCCGGGGCCTGGAAGGGAAACGGGGAGAGGCTAGCAAGAGCTGTGCAAGCAGCCAGTGCAGCCCTGATGTGCAGGCCAGGGTGCATGGGGCTGCTTCACTGCTGGGCTTCCCAGCCCTGCAGCACCCAGTGAGCAGGGCCTGCTCACCCTCTGGGCCCTGGCACCAGTGTTGAGGACCTTCTCCTCTAAGGGCTTGCAGGCAGGTGTGGGTAGCAGCCATGGGCTGCTCTCAGTGCTGAGCAAGGCTTGCAGCTGTCTCGGGGGCCCATCAGTGCAGTTGCTCCCTTGGCTAGCAGAGGTGCTGCGTTGCACCCAGAGGAGTTTCCTTGCTCCTTGCATTGTATGGGGGGTGGGGGGGGTGTTGTAAGCCTCCCCCAGAGGTGCTGGGTGCTGCTGCAGGCACCAACCCTGTGGGGTCCTGGGTGGAGGGTCTTGCCCCTGCGCTCAGGCTCAGCCCCATGCTGCACTGGGGCAGGAAGGGATTTCCCCCCTGAACAGACTGGTTGCACTGGGGGGTTTTGCCTCCCCCGGCAGTGGGGGCACGGGCTGGGCCTGGGCTCTCTGCAGCATCCATGACCCCCCTGGCAGCAGCAAGATGTTGGTGGCTGTGGCCCCCTGTATCCCAGGGGCGATGCCTGGGGCTGTGGCAGGGTGACTGTCGTGTGGCTCTGAGTCAGACATAGGGTTTGTCTGGGCTGGTTTGGACGGGGCTGATCCTGCCTTGGGCTTGGACTGGATGTGACCCCACAGCTCCCTGGCTCTGGGACTACGACTGTTCTCACCACTGTGCTCAGTGGGGGCAGATGACAGAACAAGGAGCAATGGGCTCAAGTTTTATATCAGGGGAAGTTTAGTTTGGATGTTAGGAAAACTTTTGCACCAGGAGGGTAGTAAAGCACTGGGACAGGTTACTGAGAGGTGGTGGAGACTCCATGCTAGGAGGTTTTGAAGACCCGGGTAGACAAACCCTTGGCTGGGATGATGTAGTTGGGGCTGGTTCTGCTTGGAGCAGGGGTTGGACTAGATGTGACCTCCTCAGCTGCCTGCCAGCCCTTGTTGTCTCTGATGCTGTGACTGAGCCTGCACTATGCATGAGAGCATCTCTAGCAGCTGGCCTCTGCAAGCTGGTTTGGGGCTGGGGGTCTGGAGGCACTGGTTACTGGCTTTACTGGGGGCTGCCTTGCTCCCATCTCCCTATTGGCATGCTTTCCTCTGTCACCTGCATCTCTCACCCTGCGGCACTCAGGCCGACCCTGCCATCCTGCCCCTTGTCAACTGGCTACCACGACTACCCCATGCAAAGCCCAGGGACAGTCTTGGGTCTTCAGGAGGGAGCACAGACCTCCCCTTGCACCATTCTTGGAGTGGGCTTTAAGATCTGGAGGGCACGGGGCCTCCCCACTGTTCACGGCTTGCCCTTGCACCTTCCTCTCCACCCAGACATGGGTCTGCATCTAGATCTCCCCGCTGTGCCTTACCCCACCAGCACCTGCTTCTCCTTTTTTCAGGCAGGTCCCTGGTGAGGCCACAAAGGAAGGGAGGCCGCGTCCCCAGGGGCCGTGCAGCCCTGGGACCTCCGGCAGCTGCATGCCGGGAGGGTTGGATAGAAAGGCCCCGGATCTGGCTGTGGCAGGCGTTGACACGGATAGGAGCCTCGTGTGGGGCTGCCTCTGCTGCCGTTCTCCCCACTGGGGGTGCGGGGAAACCGTCCCACGTGGATTTCAAGGGCAGGCTGCCCGACGCACCCGAATTCACTTCCCAGGGAGACCAGGCTTTTGGCAGCCTCCGTGCCGCTGGTCTCGACTGCAACTCGGGGCAGTGACTGCACCGCACAGCCCTTCCTTGCACCCGGGGGCCCTATCCTGCTCATCCAGCCTCCCCCCTTCACGGTGCCAGGTCCACGCTCCGATTTAGGTCAGCGCTGGCCTCCCCGCGCTCTCTGTCATCCACATCGTGCTACCGGGAGGGCCGGAGTGGGTATTTATAAGCGCTTCCTTTTAATGGCGATCTCTGTACCGGCGCCGGCAATAGCACACCAGAGCTTTTCAGCAGGCCTGGCCAGGCTCGTTTGGGCAGCTTGGCTCATTAGGCCAGCGCGCGGTTGCCTGAGAGCATGCAGCCCCCGACCCGGAGGGGCTGGGAACAGCCGTGGAGGCATCTGGAGCGGAGCAGGCTGCATCCTAGCCCAGCGCCTCCCTCCACAATCGTTCATTAATTCAGCCCATGGATGGCGGCTTCTAATTGCTGCAGTGATCGAGTCGATAGCCCCAGCGGCCCTTCTGCATCCTGCCTTTTAATCTGGGGTTATTTACCAGGGAGGAGCCTGCCAGGGTAGAGGTACCCCGCCGCCCCCCTTTCCTGGAGGCTCAGCTCGAGCTGGCAGGGAGAGTCGGGGAGGATTCAACCCCCCAGGGGGTCTCTGGTCTCTGCTGCTCTGTTTCACAGCAAGGCCCTGGCAGAGAAGGCGTCACGGAGCGAGACCCCCGCACCCTGGCTTGCTGCAGAGAAGCCCATGAGGGTCCCAGGGATGGGGCCCTGAGCTCTGGGCTGGGAGCCCGGGCTCCGTCCTGGCTGCATGAGCTGTTGGGAGGCATCACCAGTGCCCACCGGGCTGGGAGCAAGCTTCAGGCACTTCCCTCCGTGTCTTCAGGCTGATGACAGAGTGGGTTCGTTAGCGCTGAGCGCAGCCATGCCCTTGCTTCCTGCCAGGCCTGGCATCCTCCCCCTGCCCAGGAGCTCCCTGCCATGTCCTACAAGCCACCTGCTCTTGTTCCATGGCTCCGGTGCCTGCTCAGACCCTTGCTCTGGGCATCTGGCCGTGGCTCTGTGCCTGGTCCTAGGCTTTGCTGAAGATCCTGGCACTCAGCAGAGACCTCCACTCCTCTATGGGAGGGGAGCACAAATGTAGGCTCACAGAGCCTGTTTCTTGCATGCAGTCCAGGCTACTGAGATGAAGTGGCATGCCCAAGGCCAGGCAGGCAGGCAGGCGGTAGCAGAGCAGGAGGCTTATCCGGCTCCTTGAGGCCAGCTTGGTTCTCATTGCTGAGCTCCCATCTCCCAACTGCTTGTGATGCTCAGATGTACGCAGCCTGGCTGGCGACCCTCTGCTGCTCTGGGTTGGTGTGACTGCAGCTAGCGGTGAGCCCTAGCGGGGACAGAGGCCGGCTCCAGGGCTGGTTGCAGCCTGCTTCCAAGTGGTATTAAGTGGAGTCCCCCGGGGTTGGCCCTGGGGCTGGTTTCGTTCAGCCTCTTGAGCAGCAACCTGGAGGATGGGATGGAGTTTGCAGCAGGTTTGCAGATGACGCCAAGCTGCGGGGAGTAGTAGATGCGTTGGAGGGTAGGGCTAGGATTCAGAGAGACCTCAGCACGCTGGACTGAAGGAAATCTCATGGGCATTGCGCTGGGAGATGCCGTCCTGCGGATGCCTCCCCCTGCTCTCTTTGGCTCAGTGGAAGGATTTGTCCTGGGCAGGCAGGAGAGCTGGGTGGGAGATGGGCATCCACGGGCAGATCTAGGGGTTGCAATCGTACCTCCCCCCTTCCCCTTTGATTTCAGCTCTACCCAAACTTTAAAGCCAACTGTTTTTGAGCAGCCATGACACTTCTGTTCATGAGACGTGCTTTGACTTCATAGCTCGTTATAATCTACCTGTTTCCTGCTAGGGTCTCCTTATTCCACAGGCGTTAACGACCCTCTCTCCTTTTTTTTAATGCCTTTTGATAGTCCACTCTCCAAACCAACCTTTCTTCTGCAATGCTGCTGTCTCCTCCTCGTTGTCGTCTTTCCTCTGGCATCATAGAATCAAAAGACCAGAAGGGACCTGTAAGATCACTGAGTCCAGTCCCCTGCCATAGGCAGGAGGTTAATGAGCTCAACCTGGTGCTTCTCCAGCCTCCTCTTGAACACCTCCAAGGATTTTGTTCAGCCCATAGGACCAATCTGTCAAGGTCATCCTGGATCTCTACCCTCTCCTCGCATGTGCCCGCGTTTCCCCACAGCTTGGTGTCATCTGCAAACTTAATCATTGAGCTTTCCACCCCCTCATCCAAGTCCTTAATAAATGTGTTAAAAATCACAGGTCCAAGCACCGATCCCTGCGCGACACCACTGGAGACAGTCCTCCAGGATGAGGCCATCCCATCGATTACGACTCTGGGAGCGGCCAGTTGTCCACCCACCTCACCGTAGACTGGTCCAGGCCAGCACCCTCCAGTTTAGTGAGAGGATCTCATGGGAAACAGAATCAAAGGCTTTGCTGAAGTCTAGTTACCTGTCATAAAAGGACACCGGGCTTGTCAGGCATGATCTACCCTCTACAAAGCCGTGCTAGTTGCTTCTTAACACCCCACCGGTCATGAGCTCGTAATTGGTGGCCTGCTTAACTATTTTTTCAAAATTTTTTCCTAGGACCAAAGTCAGACCGACTGGTCTGTAGTTTGCAGGGTCATCCCTCCTCCTTTTCTT